GCCCAAATAGACCCCCCTGCAGCCCCCCAAGACCCTCTCAAAAGAAGGGGCTCCAGCCCCCTTCGCTAAAGGGATAGTTTTGGGGAGCCAATTTAGGGGAGCAATTCAGACCACACCCAACATCCTTCTCCCTCAGTTCCCCCCAGCAATGGGGGAATATGGGGTGGGGGGTTCTGGGTCTCCTCCCCAAATTCAGAGTTCCCCCAAGAAGGAATCCAGTTCAACTCTCCCCTCCTCTTAAAAAAATGGAGATTCAGACGAAAAACTGACGTTTCAAAAACACTTTTGCCAAAAAGCGTCTTTTTCCGTCTCCTTCCTCTTTCAGTGCAAGAAACTTCGGGGCTCAGGCGCTAATTCGGGGTCCGCAAGGTCCACCTCCCACCCAGCCACGGGGGGAGGGGCGAGAGAGGAGCCCAGCTGCCTCTTATCCCACTTGGGCTGCCTTCCCGCGACCCCCGCCCCACCTCGGCCACAACCAGGGAAGAGGGGAGGGGGCTCCCTCTCCGTCCTGCGGGGGGGGGGGTAATGAGGCGAGGCAGGGGCGGAGACCACGCGGAGATCGACGCTGCCGCAGTCTCCCGCCTCTCTTGCCCTCGCCCCCTTTCCCCACTTCTGGGGTCCCAGCCCCTTTCTTCCCACCCACCCCCAGGGTCTCTGACGGGCCCCCCCAGCCCCTCTCCTCCCTCGACGAGCCCCCTCCTTACCGGGGGTCTCCTTCCCCCCTTCGCTTCCGGGGATCCGGGCCAGCGCCCCCGCCAGCAGCAGCAGCAGCACCAGAGGGAGCCCAGCGGAGCCCATGGAGGCCGCCCCACAAGAAGAGAGAGAGACGCGGAGGCTCCCAGCCCCAGAGGCGGAATCGGTGGGTCTGGATTGGGGGGGGAGGGGGCGTTTCTCTCGAACTTCGGACCTGGGAGGGCCCAGGAAAGCGGAGGGACCAATGGGAGTTCTCCCTTCCGCAGCGTCATCGGTCTCCGGGCAGAGCCTCCCTTGACTTCACCCGATGGAGGAGACAGTTCGGCGCAGAGAGCGAAGCGGAGAAAGTGGGAGGGGGGTCTTTTCAGTCTTGGGGGGGGGACTGAAGCTTCGGGGGGGGTATTTCATGACAGCTCCGCAGGGGAGTGTGCACTTCCTTTGGGGCCCCGCCCCCGTATGATTCTCAAACAGCTCTCCTTCTTGGGTTTGGCCAGTTTAAAGAAAAGAAGAAACAGGGGCGACGTGATAGCAGAATTCCAGAATTTGAGGGGCTGCCCCAAGGAAGAGGAGGGGGTCACGTTACTCTCCAAAGCACCAGAGGGAAGGATGAGAAACAATGGTTGGAAACTGATCAAAGAGAGAAGCAACCTGGAATTAAGGCGGAAATTCCAAACAGTGAGGACAATTAACCAATGGAACAACCTGCCTCCAGAAATCGTGGGTGCTCCATCATTGGAGACTTTTAAGAAGTCGCTCACCTGACCAGGGCAGAACCTCTGGGCTCCTTTCCTGCTTCCTCCCCCCCCCCCCCAAATATTGTGATTTTCTCCAAGTTTTCCCTGCCACTCCCAGCCCTACACAAACAAACACACACAAAAACACAGCAACTCCTTTGCACAATCCCCGAGGAGGCGCCTGAGTCCCGCTTCCTTCCCCCCCCGCCCCCATCCTGAAGCGCTGGGCTCCCCCGAAGCGGAACCGAGAACTGGCCCTGATCCAGCAGTCAACAAGCCCGGATTCTTCCCCCAGGGCAGCTCTGGGACTCTCCCGCTCCGCCCCACGGCTGTGTCTCTGGGTGGGGCGGCCCCCTTGGTCCTCTGCCCTACCGAAAGAGGCGGAGGGGCCCCTCCCGACCCCCGAGGAGACCCCGGACAGAGAGAGAGAGAGAGAGAGACGGAGGGAGGGAGGGAGGGAGAGAGAGACGTAGATAGACATAAACAGATTGATAGAGATGAGAGGGAGAGAGTGGGAGGGAGGGAGAGAAAGAGGGAAAGAGGGAGGGAGGGAAGGAAGGAAAGAGAGAGAGAGAGAGAGAGAGAGAGAGAGAGAGAGAGAGAGAGAGAGAGAGAGAGAGAGAGAGAGAGACATACTGGAATTTCCAGACCGCTTCATCCCAGGACTAGCCTGGACTGGCCTTGCATAGTTGTTGAGATCAGCCCAGGTGAGTCAGGGATTTTCAGCCTTTCCTCTCTAGATCAACCAAAAAGCTCTCTTCAAACGTTGTTGGAGAGAAAATAGCGTATCTGAAACAAAAGTCAAAAGAAGGAGCTGCTTCTTCTTTACCCTTCCTATAAATTGTGGATTTCATCTTCCAAAATACATTCATGTTGTGGCACATTGATCAAAATGAGTGAAATAATGAAATTTGTTAATTCCCATTTTAAAAAGCCTATTATCAAACCAGCGCAAAGATTGGCAAGAACACTGGATCTAAAAAAAACACAATGTAAAACAGAGTTAGGGGGGGTCTTATGGGAAACAGAAGGAGAGAATTTTTCCTAGGCAGGAAAAGGAGGGAAAGAAAGGGGGCAAATGGATCAGTCTGTAAGGAAAGATTTGGCCCGAAGGCTTTGAATTAAAGTGGTTGGGAGTCTCCTGGCGTTTCTCCACATTTGATTTCAGTGCCCAGGGGAGACACCCCAAAAGGGAAGCGTCCAGAATCTGATGTGGAAAAATGTAACAGAATAACAGAATAATACAGCTGGAGGGGACCTTGGAGGTCCTCTAGTCCAGCCCCCTGCCCATGCAGGAGACCCTATGTCACTTCAGACAAATGGCTGTCCAGTCTCTTCTTAAAAGCCTCCAGTGATGAAGCGATCACAACTTCTGGAGGCAAGCAGTTCCACTGATTAATGGTTCTCACTGTTAGGAAATTGCTCCTTAAATCCAGATCTCTCCTTAATACATTTCCATCCTTTGCTTCTCGTCCTGCCTTCAGGGGCTTTGGAGAATAGCTTGGCTCCCTCTTCTTTGTTGCAGCCCCTCAAATATTGGAAGAGGAGAAAGGAATAATAATCTCTGGATTATTTTTAGTAAGCCTCTCACTCACATCTTTGATAGTTCTTCCTGGGAAACAGTCTGACTGTCCATTCTACAAATTGCTGGTTCAGTTCCTCTGAGCAATGAATCCTCAATCACCAACACAGGTCTTTGTTTATCTTAAGGAAGTCTGCTCTGATTTCATTTTTCTGCAATTGGTACACTTGGTGTTGTCCCTTTTCCAGGTGCCCACAGGCTCTCTTCCAAGGGGGGGGGTATTACTGACAGGAGCCCCAGTCTTCTCTGTGTTTGAGACAGTTCCTCCACCGACCTATTCTTCATGTGCCCCAGATGAGGAATGGGAGGGGGAAAAATCTGCCCTTGGAGATCGAAGCCACGGGAATCCTGCAGAACCAGTCTGGATGACCTCTGGAGGCGGCAACGCTCAGTGGGAGAGCTACCTAGGGGCATCTAGGGGTGCTGGGGAGAAAGGAAGGGGCCTTCCACTCAGAGTTGCCCCCTTGATCTTTCCTCTCTCCCGCAGAGCTGCTCTCACTCCCCCCTGATGGCAAATGTCTCCTACACCAGGAATGGCTTCGGGTGGACTTTCTCCTCTGGCCCAAAGAGGCCCTGGAGAAGACACCCTTCCCAACACCCCCTGCCCAGGAGCCCTCAGACCAGGGAGATGGACATCAGTGCAACCTTCCCAAAGATCAAGGCCATTGGGCACAGGACCACTCAGGGCCTTTTTTGAGGGAGAGGAATCTCAGATGAGTTCCAGTTGGGGGCCACATGGGAGACTCACACAGGACTCTCTCTGTTGGGGACCATCAGGTCAGGACAGGGTCCTCCACCCAGGACATGAAGCAGGAGGACCCTCAAACTAGTGCAGTCCACTAGGAGAAGGGCGGGATATAAATGCAATAAACTTGAAACTTGAACTTGAAACAAACTGTGCAGGAGACACTGCTCCAGGGGTCTCCTCTGCCCACAGAGAGGGGGCTTCAGACCCAAAGGCAGGAAGGGCTGTGGGGCGGC